CCTTTGGTGTGGGACAGGTCATTAGGGTGCCTGGGTGGTGGTCTGGTTCATGTCATCACAAAGGGGACCGGCAAGCACAGGTACTGACACCAGGTGACGGACAGCAGGCAGGTGGGCAGGCTAGTCACATGACTGCTGGCACAGTGATGGGGTCTGCGTCATGTAGGTCATGCGGGCTGATGAGGTTAACTTGTTTCTCATGCAAATACTCGGAATAGATTAAACATAAAGTATTTCCATTATTTTTTGGCTGGATGTAATTTTTCTAGTTCCCTTTGTTATTTGATTTTTTTACCCATGACTTATTCAGAAGTTTCTTTCCTCAAAAGTATTAAAGGCACCGTTAGTGTTTTAGCCACACACCCGCTCTGATCTCTTGACAACTTCCGTCCACACTGGCTCCTAACAGAGCAGCTGCCCTTGTGTCTCTTGATGCATGGATTCCCCCAGGCTGCCAGAACCTGATTTGCAGGTGGAGGCATGTGCTGCCTTCCCTTGCCACAGACGGGACCCTTCTGATGCAGCTCCCCCCCCCACTACCCTCAGAGCTCCCCTGCAGGCATGAGCAAAAAAGTCACGCTCCGTGGAGCTGCTTGAAGCAGGCTCCCTTCCTGGCCCGACTGCCCCTCTCCTCACCAGGTGTTCCTGGAAACATTTCTGAATACATCACACTTGGACCGCAGGTTTGGATCCTAAGACAGCCGGCACCAGAGGCAGCTCCTTGGAAGCTACCTCTCAGCATGGGGCCCTGGGGGTGTGCCAGCTGCTGGTGGCAAATGGGGAGACAGCTACTCCCAGCGTGCTTGTGCCGTAGCACTGAGACTGCCGACGCCTTCCTCGGGGGCAAGTCTGGATGGGGCTGGAAAGGGGGCAGTCACAACACTGCCCGGCATCTTCAGTATTCACAAGACAGGGCAAGTGATCATTGTAAGGGCTGGGGAGCGGGGCCTAGCTGTTCTGAAGAAAGCAAATGACAAGTTCAGGTTGGCGACTGGCAACTCCCGGGATGACGTGAGTGGGGCTGGTGCCGAGGGCGAAGCTGATGGGGCTGGGGGCGGGACGGGCTGCGACAGGGCTCCCCGGTCCGTCACGCGCCAACACCCGTGCCCTGATGCCGGGCAGAAGCACCAGCCATGGGACTGCAAGGTCTGACTCGGGAGCGCACAGGAGTGGCCACTCACGCAGCAGGATTTCACATCTTGCCCAAACACCTGCGAGAGTCTTGGAGCAGGCGGATGCTCTGCTGGACGGCACCTGCCCCCTCGAGACCCAGCCCACTTCCCTGCGGACCGTGAGACCAAAAGCCTGGCTTCAATCCAGCCTGACAGTGAAAGCAGTGGCCCTGCTAAACGGAAAGGGCATTAAGTGAGGGGGCTGCAGGATGTAAGGAGCACGTGGGAACAGGAACACGGCAGCCCTGCCCGGAAGTGCGTCTAGGAGGAGGGTGGGGATGAGGAGCGCCGGGACACAGGCCAGATAAAAAGGCGCTTTTGAACGAGGAGGGCTTTCTTCCATGACTCAGGGTTCAGTGGTCTGGCAAGAGCACCTGCAGCAGGTCCCAAGAGACTGCGGGGACGGCTCCCAGCAGCTTGGAAGAAGGCGTGGCCCACATGAAATACGGTGGAGGTGCCAGAGTCGTCAAGGCAGATGAGCCCAGGATCAAATGGCTCAGCAGGGCAAGCCCGCTAGGAAGAACCTGCACGGAACACCCATGCCCCCGCCAACTGACCAGCGTCTCAGAGGCGCAGGCGCCATGGACGCTCTGGGGAGCAGGGCCCTGGCCCACTCAGGGGTCTGTGGTGGCATCTGCCGCAGGCCAGAGGAGGAGGGTGGAGCGGCCACCACAGAACAAGAGCTCCTCGGGGAAGCCAGGATCTGAAGGGGCAGAGGCCTCACGGCAGCACACAGCTCAGTGACCCTGGCACTCTAGCAGCTGGCGGGCTGGAGCCACCGCCTTGAGAAGCAAGGGCAAAGTGGCAACCAAGAGCCCTGGCCCCCAAGGGCCCACGGTGGCAGCTACCAGACCACGGCATTTCAAGAGGCAAGACAGGAGGGCCGCCAACAAGGACGCCGCTCAAGGCAAACCTAAGTACGTAGCCAAACGTAATCAGACTGAAGGCAGCAGTCCGCCCCCGACGAGCCAAGCTCCGGGCCCACAGCACGGGAGATCTGCTCTCCTGAGCAGAAGAGATCCACTCTGCATCTGGCACCTGGCATGCAGCTCTTGGTCTGGTGACTCGGCCTTTTCGGTTCTCACGGCCAAGGAGAATCAGAAGCAGTCTGCATTCACGGCAGACACTCGTGGTCTTACCCCGTGTCACAATACGGTCCAAAGGGAGCCCCCTCACCTGGACATCCTTCAGAACACACGCTGGTCCACTCTCCTGGCGTTGTGTTGCTGGGATCGGGTGCTCCGACACACCCCGGGCACAGGTGGTAAACGTCACAAGGGCTCATGCACCTGCCACCCCAGAAAGGTTTTCAGGTGTCCAATGGCAGGGGCTCCACCAGGACGTGGACACCAACCAAGAGACACGCAAGTTATTGCCCCTCCCACTGCCTACTTTCTTGGGTTTTGGAGACACAACAGGCCACATGGGAGATCCTGCTGTGACTCGAAAAGCTGCCAGGTTTGAGAGGCTGCAGGGCAGGGCAGCTCTCCAAGAGATCCACGCTGCGCTCTCGGTGGCCCTGCCCCCCGGGCCACAGAACCCCTCAGCTCCCACGGAGCTAGCAGCAGATAAGGCGGATGGAGACACGGTGGGACGCCCTGGGAAAGCCTCTGCAGGAAAGTCAGGGCAGACGCCAGCCTTCTAGAGCAGGCCATGTCGTCCACAGAAGAAAAACACCCGTCAGGGGACCTTCTTGGCTCCTGGCCCTGAAGGCAACTGCGTGTGCCAGGAAACATTCGTGTCTATGACACCAGTGCCTCCCCCCTTCATAGTGGCGGCAGACCCACCAAAGCCCCAGAGAACAGGGCAAGCGGCACATCTAGGACCAAAGCATCTCCAGAGGGCACAAGGCAGGCGGCCCTGTTCCCGTGACACGCACCTCTGTGGCACCAGCGTCTTCCCCAACTTGCCCACCATCACCCCAGGGAGGCTTCACAGCAGCTAGTGGGAAAAACTCAAACCTGGTTTGTGGACCAGTGGCTCACTGCTACTGCAGGCCCCACTCAGCCCCACCTGGGCACAACCTGAAAGACAGTGGCCAGGCAGAGACCTCGGCCAAGGGCCTGGTCGGCAGCTCTGTGTGCCCGTGCTACGGATCACAGGATTGCAGGCAGTGGGGAGAGGCTGGTCAGGGCTCTTGAGGGAGCGGCATACAGATGGGCCTTGTTGGAGACAGGGTCCATGCGCAGGTCTGTGTGTGGCATGAATGCCCACCGCAGGGCATCGCGGCTGGGGCGGCCCGAAAACCCAGGCCCTGGGATGAGTCAGCCAACGGATGTCAGCCAGCTTCTGTCCTTGCCAGTCCCAGTGTCCACACAGTGGACCACAAATGGAATGCCCATGATGGCCAAGAGCCTCTTAGCAGGTCTGATCTGGCCACAGCCACTGTTGACCACACACCCACTATGAGCAGACACCAGCACCAGGCCTCTGCTTGGCACCAGCCTTGAGGCTGTCAGCCAGCCACTGGTGGTAAGGGGATTACACTGAACACCTTCGCCTGGAAAGGAGTGATATGTCTCAGCGGGGACACACCTATGTCCCCAGTGTGGGTTTGTCTTTCCTGGCATGGGACTTGGGCCTGCGCTAGTATCTCAGGGCTAGCAGCAGAGATTTACCCACACAGGATTCCACGTCGCATCAACTCAGAGCATCCAGGGAGACACGGGAGCCACTGGGACACCAAACATAACATCGCTCAGAAGGTGCCAGCCTGGTGACATGGGGAAACGACACCTCACAGGCACAGGCAAAATACCCAGTGACGCACCTCCGGGATGAACGTGCCAAGGGCCATCGATGGTACTGGGCGCCCAACCGATAAAACTCAGGAAGCAGGGCGAAGGTAGAAGTGACTGCTCTCACCATCACCCGAGAGGCCAGGATGGTCGTGGCCCCACCCTCCCCACAAGTTGAGGTCAGGTGGATCTAGAGGTCCTGATTCCAAGGGGTGGAGAAAGTTTCTACCAGGGAGCACCAGCAGCCATGCCAGCCACCTGGTCATCTGGAGTTCCTTGTGCCAGAAGACCGGCAGGCAGTGCGGCACTTCCACACTGGCCAGGGCACCTGGGCCTGACTGTTACGAAGAGCAGAGTTACCACTGCAGAATGGGGCAGGGAGAAGAAGGTCTGAGAGCCAAGGGGCTCACGGGCGCCTTTCTAGACACACCCATGACAAGTCTTAACCGGGACTGGACTGTCGCGGCAGCCAGAGCTGGACAAAGGAACGGCTTGGCCGCACAGGGACAAGGTGTGGGTGACCTCACCAGGCCAATAACCAGAGCAGTGGAAGGCTGGCCACAGGGCAGGAGCTCTAGAAAGGGCAGTGGAGGAAAGGAATGAGAGTATCAGCTCAACTCAGACCAATACAGTCGTGGGAGCTCCCGTCTGTCTCCCAGAGTCCACAACCGGCAGCTAAGAAGAGGCAAAGTGCGCCCAACATGAGGCGTGCGTGAACTGAACGGGGCCGGGCAGAAGGAGGCTATGGCCGGTGCCAGGGGTCCCTGCAGCCCCCACAGCCTGGGCACACCAGGGAAGCTGGAGGCGCCGAAGAGCCACGTCCCAGGGACGGCTCCTTTCCCTGGAGGGACAGCTCTGGGCTGTCACCTACCCTGCCTCCGAGGTCCCTCAGGGGATGACCCAAATCTGCCCACCGGGACTTGGCTTGAGGCACAGCCTTTCCGGTCCTCCCCCTCTTCCCTGTCCGTGCCCCCATGTTCCTCAACTGCTCTTCCTGGGAACATGACTTAAGAAATAACTTTCACATGGTTTCTCATTTCAGTGTCTGCTTCCAGGGAATTCAAGCTAAGACCAAACAGGTGACATTTTCTGCCATTCACTTCCAATTTAATGCGCTGTACTAAAAACAACAACAACAACAAATGTTGCTTTATGATTCAGACTTTCTGATATTTGTTGAGACGAGTTTATGTCCCAGTACTGCTCAATTTTCAAACAAAATCCGCATATATTTGATAAGAATGAGTATCTCCAGAGAGATATAGGTAGACGGATGCAGACATATGTATATAATATACAAAAAATCCAATATTGAGAACATGAACGCCTACTGGTTTTAGTTGCTATGTTTTTGTTACCAGGCTGTTTGGTACACACATGTCAGACACAAATAAAGATTCATGTCTTCTGGGTCAGGGGTCACCAGGGGCCTCGAGGCGACTCTCAGGCCACTGGCCCAGAGACCCTCTGAGAACCACCCTCTCCCTCAAGAAAGAACATCTGCCGAGACGACACCCCGTCCCTGAACTCCGCCCCTGGAGAGGAGCCTCCATGCACCCAGGAAGAGGCGACCGCAATCGGAGCCTGGAGATGCACCGAGGGAGGGGGCCCTCTGGAAGGAAGCCACGGCGGGCCCCGGAGGGGGGACAGGACATGTCACTTACCGCAATCTCTGTTACTAAAATATCAGTAATACTTCCCAACACAGTGACAAAGTCAAAGACATTCCAGGCGTCTCTGAAATAGTTCTGGAGAAAGAGAAGGGCAGTCAGTGCCGGTGGTGGCTGGAGACGGTTCTTGGGGCACGGGGGTGCGGGTGGTGCCCGAGTCCGGAGAGGGGGAGGGTAACAGAGTCCCAGCACAGCACAGGTGGGCCCCCAAGGCAGCACAGCACCAGTGGCAAGCAGACACGACAGCCAGGTGCACAGACACTGCTGGGCCTGGGCAGAGGCAGAACGGAGAGCCTCGTGTCCACAGAGGAGCGCCCAGCCCTGCCTGCCTCCCAGGACCTGGGCCGAGAGCAGAGCTCGGGCAGCTGAGCGTGTCAGGACAGCCCCTCCCCCGGGGCCCTCGCGCGTCACGTGTGCTCTGGGCACTCGGAGTGCGCTCGGCTCCCAGCCATGAGCCCCGAAGGTCACCCCACAGAGGGGAGCTCGGATGCAGGCCACTCACAGGCAAGAGGAGACCACGGCACGTACCAGCACCCCAAAGGCGATGATCTTCAGCACGCACTCCATGGAAAACATGGACGTGAACACGATGTTCAGACACTTCAGCATCAGCTCGTACTCATAGGGTGCATCATAGAACTGCCAAGAGAGGAGGCACTGCTGGCTGTGGGCTCAGCAGCCCCGACACACACACACACACGCACACACACGCACACATGCACACACGCACGCGCACGCACACGCGCGCACACGCACACACACACACACACACACACACACACACACACACACACACGCACACACCCCGGGACCACTGCGAACGCAGGCACACAGAACCCCACGCCTGCCCAGGCTGGGGACATCCCTGCCTGCTCTCCCCAGTTCTAACAGAGCCTCGGGGTCCCAGCCCACAGACAGCAAAAGGAACAGGATTCCACAGGCTTTGCGTGCTGGCCAGGAGGCCGACGACTGTGGCACCTCGGCCTCCGAGCCAGGGCCTGGCCCGGACGGGCACCAACCATCCCACTGCGCAGGCCGCGCACCTTCATCATCAGCACCGCCGTGTTGAGGGCGATCATGGCCATGATGAAGTACTCGAAGGGCGGGGAGACCACGAACGTCCACGTCTTGTACTGGAACGACTGCTTGTTCTGGGGCATGTACCGCGTCAGGGGCTTGGCGCTGATGGCGAAGTCAATGCACGCTCTCTGCGCGGGAGGACGAGCACGGAGAACTTGCAGCGGCAAGAGCGACCGTGTCCCCCAGCCCTCCCAGGGCGCCGAGGAGGAGGAGAGGGAGGCGGCCCAGGCCCGCTCCCGGCAGGCCCCGGCCGAACCCGCGCCGGGCCCCGCCCTGTGCTGGCCTCGCGGCAGCCAAAGCCGGCCCACGGGGAGCAGCCTGCGGCCCGCCCACACGGCCCGCGCAGGTCCGGAGCAGCCGCCTACCTCGTTCTTCTCCAGGCTGCACTCGGACATGACCTTGTCCCCCTGCTCCTGGAAGGTGATGATGATCAAGGCCACGAAGATGTTGACAAAGAAGAAGGGGAAGACCACGAAGTAGACCACGTAGAAGATGGACAGCTCCATGCGGTACCCGGGGCTTGGGCCCTGCTCCTCGTAGGTGGCGTCCACGGAGTGTTTCAGCACCCTGGAGGAGGGCAGCACGGGCGTCGGGGGACCCGGAGGAGACCGCCCGGGGCATCACAAGGAGGGGGCTCGGGGTCCGCTTCCACGGCCAGCCTGGGCCGGGGGGCGGGAGAGCAGCCCAGCCCAGGGCTCCCTGGGCCAGCCCCACCTCTGCCCCGGCAGCCAGCCGCCACGAGCTGGAAAGCACTCACATGGGCCAGCCTTCTCCTGTGGACACCGTGAACAGCGTCAGCAGAGCCCAGAGCACGTTGTCATAGTGGAAGTCGTACTTCTTCCACTGCCTGGGCTGCGCTTCCACCTCCTCCTTCTCGTAGTCCAAATACTGGCCCCTGGGAAGGGGAGCACGGGGAAGGGTGAAGGTTAAAGACAGAGGACCCAAGGAAGCCCCGTGCCTGCCGTCAGCCGACAGCGGCAACAAGCGCCAAAGCCGTTCCCGGGGGAAATAACGGTCTAGGACAACAGGATCTCCACGGGCAAAGGATGGATCTGGACTCCTACCTCACTCTATATACAGAAACTAACTCGAAATGGATTAAAGACCTAAACGTAAAGCCAAACCGCAAGACTATTAGAACAAAACCTAGGGGCATAACTTCATGACCTCATACCGGGGAATGGAGTCCTAGACATGACGCCAAAATGATGAGCAACATGATTACAGAGCGGGTAACTCAGACTTCATCAGAACTGACGACTTTTATGCTTCCGAGGACACCACCAAGAAAGTAACACACAACCCGGAGGATGGGAGAAAATATTTGCCAGTCATCTATCTGATAAGGGACTTGTATCTAAAACACAGGAAGAACTACCATAATCAACAGCAAAAAGACAAATAACCCGACTAAAAGTGGGTAAAAGGTCGTTGCAGTGCTTCTTGCCTGGAATTCCGGCACTCTGGGAGGCCAAGGAGTGAGGACTGCTTAAGCCCAGCCTGGGCAATGTAGTGAGACCTCATCTCTTCAAAAAAAAAAAAGAGAGAGTAGGATGTAGTGGCATATGCCTGTAGTTCCAGCTCCTTGGGGGGCTGAGGTGGGAGGATCGCTCCATCCCAAGAGTTCAAGGCTGTGTTGAGCCATGCTTGTGCCACTGCACTCGAGCCTGGGTAGCAGAGTGAGATCCCAACTCAAAAAAAATGGGTCAACAATCTGAATAGCCGTTTCTCCACAGAAGATACACAAATGGCCAATGAGCCCATGAAAAGACGCTCACCATCATTAGCCATCAAGGAAAACACATCCAAACCAAACGGAGACACCACCTGACATCCATTAAGTTGGTTGTAATTTTAAAAAACCTAAGTATAAAAAAGTGACAAATAATAAGTGTTGACAAGAATATGGAGAATTCGGGACCCTTACACATTGCTGGCGGGAACATAAATCGGTACAGCCACTTTAGAAAGTCTGGCATTTCCTCAAACAGTTAAACACAGAGTACCAAATCACCCTTCAGTTATACCTCTAGGTGTAGATCCAGGAGAAATGAAAACATAGGTCCGCCCAAAAACTTGTACACAGATGTGCATAGCAGCAGCATCCACAATAACCAAAACATAGAAACGACCCAGATGTCCATCAACAGATGAATGAATAACCACGGTGTGGCGTGTCAGAGAACAGACCCTTAGCCATAAAAGAATGTAAAGAAACCATTCGCAAAAGACCACATATTGCATAATTCCACTTACATAAAGTGCCCAGAACAGGGAAATTTGTAGAGATAGGAAGTAGTTTGGTGGCCAGGGGTGGGAATGAGGACAGTGAGGGTGGCAGCTTAGATGTACAGGTTTATTTTTTGCTGGTTTTTTTCCTGAGGTGATGAAAATATGTTCTAAAAATGACTGTGGTGATGGTTACACGGATCTGTAAACATACTGAAAACCAGAGCTGTACACTTCAGACAGGTTGTTGTGAACAAGTTGTATGGAGTTGGAGTTATATCTCAATACAGCTGTTTTTAAAAAACAAAGGAGCCTCATACAGCAGGGAAAGAAGGGTGTCTTCAAATAAATGATGCTGGGTCAACTGGATACTCAATTGAGAAAATGTATCTCTATCCAACCCGTACACAACACGTGGAACTCAACCCCAGAGAGACTGCAGATCTTAATATGAAGACAAAAATAAAACTTTCAGAAGGAAACATAAGAAAATATTCCTGACCTTGGGACAGATTTCTTAAACAGGAGACAAAGAGAACTTAACATAAAGGAATAAAAAAGGATCAGTTGAGACCACAGTAAAATTAAGAACCTTGGTATTTTAAAGACAGCATGAAAAGAGCAGAAGCACCCCCCAGAGAAGGAGATGTCCAAAACAGGGTAAACAACCTGAATAGACGTTTCTATCGTCCAGTGGCAAAGGAATCCTCCCCAGACCCTTAAAGAATCCATCAGAAAGAGACAGACAACCCACGCAGGACAAAGAGCAAAGCCTGAAACAGACACTTCCCAGAACACAACATCCAAGTGGCCCACCCACCCAGCAACGGGGGCTCAACCTGAACAGCCGTCGTTCAAGTGCAAACCACAGTGAGTTACCACTATACCCCGGAAGGCTGAAAACCCAGACCGAGAACACCATGAGCTGGCAAGGACGTCGAGGAGCCACGGCTCTCATCCACGCTGGTCACAGCTGCTCAAGCTGAACAAATGCGCAGCCCGTGACCCTGCAAGTCCACTCCCCGAGGCACACAGCTCCCAAGACGCGCCACTGCGCCCAGCAGACAAGTGCAGGCTCAGGACAACCAGCGACCCTAACAACGCAGACGCCCACCCGACACAGAGCGGAAGGTGAGTCGCGGGGCGCGCACACAGTCACCCTTACGCAGGCAGAGGCAGCCAGGGCCATCGCCGAGCTGCCTTGCCCGGCCGACCCTGCACTCCCGAGGGGCGTCTCCGGTCCGCTGCGGAAACAAGGTCGCGCCGGGAAGGCCCGACGCTCCCGAGGCCGCGTGCGGACG